TGCGTGCGTGTGCGTGTGTGTGTTGGTATCCGTGTGGTGACCTAAAAACCCCAGAAGTCTCTACCAGGATAGTAAATCAAGGAAAATTCTGAACAAATAGATGTTCACCCCGTTCATGTGTGTTGATGTGCTGTAATGCTTGTCATTAGTCATATCTGACTAGTAGACACTACCCTCCACTGGTTAGTAAAGGGTATTGCAAGCAGCAGACATATCAAAACAGCTTGAAGTGATCCACCGTCACTGAGTGATACAATTAATTATATCAGGTGGTCACATACAACATGTTACTTACACTGAACAGAAATAGAAATGCAACATGCAACAATTTCAAAGATTTTACTAAGTTCCAGTTCATATGAGGAAATTATTCAATTGAAATAAATTCATTAGGGCCTAATCTATGGATTTCACATGACTGGGAATATATATATGCATCTGTTGGTCACAGATACCTTTAAAAAAAAAAAGTAGGGGCGTAGTATCTGGTGTGACCACCATTTGCCTCATGCAGTACGAAACATCTCCTTCGCATAGAGTTGATCAGGCTGTTGATTGTGGCCTGTGGAATGTTGTTCCACTCCTTTTCAACCCTCTTCAATGTGCTAAGTTGCTGGATATTGGTGGGAACTGGAACACGCTGTCTTACATGTGGATATCGTGATACATAAACATGCTCAATGGGTCACGTCTGGTGAGTATGCAGGCCATGGAAGAACTGGGTGTCACGCTCGTCGGATATAGAGGACCAAGGCGCAGCGTGGAAGGTGAACATACTTATTTATTAAATGATACACGAACAAAACAACAAATTGATACGTGACGTCCACAGGTACAAACCAACACGGATAAAGATCCCACAAACCCTGTGGGAAAACCACCTGACTAAATATGGTTCCCAATCAGAGACAACCAGCAACAGCTGATACTCGTTGCCTCTGATTGAGAACCACTCTGGCCAACATAGATATACAAAAACTAGACTAGACACAACGAGCACAAAACATAGACTCTACACACCCTGGCTCAACTTAAAAGAGTCCCTAGAGCCAGGGCGTGACACTGGGACATTTTCAGCTTGCAGGAATTGTGTACAGGAATGGGGCCGGGCATTATCATGCTGAAACATGAGGTGATGGCGGCGGATGAATGGCACGACAATGGGCCTCAGGCTCTCGTCACGGTATCTCTGTGCATTCAAATTGCCATCGATAAAATGCAATTGTGTTCGTTGTCCGTAGCTTATGCCTTTGTGCACAAAGTTTGAGAGAAATAAGCTTTTTTGTGCGTATGGAACATTTCTGGGATCTTTTATTTCAGCTCATGAAAACATGGGACCAACATTTTACATGTTGCGTTTATATTTTTGTTCAGTGTAGATACGGAAAACTGTAACTGTAACTCGGGAAAGTACTGGACAGACATTTTTTTTCTTTGCTTTATTTCATACCGTAATTTTTCAGTGTTTAAACATTTGTTCATCAAAACACTGCTAGAGGTCTTGTGCTCAGTGCATAGTCCCAACCCACACATACACACAATACACACAGCCACAATAATCACACATAAAACCACAACAGATCCTGGTCAATCACCTTAACAAGCCTTTTCCTCTGACACAGACCAATGCAACAATATCAGTGTTCAGTGTTGTCACCTATTATATAATTAGTTTTAGTCTTTATGACTAAAATACCTTTTTAGTCTTAGTCCCATGTTAGTAATTTCATCCTTCTTAGTTTAGTTAATATCAGTCGACTAGTCCAGTTTTAGTCACAGTCATTTTAGTCCTATTTTAGTCAATGTAGTTTTGTTTTATTACATAGTTCATACACATCTCTAAGTTAACCTCCATCGTGCACATAATAGCTTCCATTCCCTTAGTCTCAGCCATCTTAAGTCACAAGTCAACGCATTATTTTCTAACAGGATAATGAGGCTATTATTTAGGTGACCTGCCATCGTGTTCAGATAGCCTTGTTCAACCAGGCCTACTAGGAGGGATGCAGAACAAAAATTGCCCAACGCTGAAGACGTCTACCTCAGTCAGTTATTACTGGGCTAGTAAAGACCCAGTTTGTGATAAAAAAAAAAAAAACTAAATGTATTTGTAACTTGAGTCTGATAATTATCTGTACAAAACAGTTAATCTGGTAATACTTGTGGAATATAAAAATACTTGCTTGATGTTTTCCAGTTTCTTTAAATACTCCCGAGTGGCGCAGTGGTCTAAGGCACTGCATCGCAGTGCTAGCTGTGCCACTAGAGATCCTGGTTCGAATCCAGGCTCTGCTGTAGCTGGCCGCAACCGGGAGACCAATGGGGCGGCGCACAATTGGCCCAGCGTCGTCCAGGGTAGGGGAGGGAATGGCCGGCAGGGAGGTAGCTCAGTTGGTAGAGCATGGCGTTTGCAACGCCAGGGTTGTGGGTTCGATTCCCATGGGGTATGAAAATAAAAAAGAATAATGTATGCACTAACTGTAAGTCGCTCTGGATAAGAGCGTCTGCTAAATGATGTAAATGTTTTCATATGCGACTTATTTCGATGTGAGAACTGAAATGGTCTATTCATTCCTTTTCCGTTTTAGTAGACTCTTATCCAGAGAGACTTACGGTAGTGACTGCATACATTTTCATACCTTTTCGTACTGGTCCCCCGTGGGAATCGAGCTCACAACCCTGGCATTGCAAGCGCCATGCTCTACCAACTGAGCCACATCATCACAAACCACTGGATGTCTCAATGTACTCACTTACTGTATTGTGCATTGTTTTTCTTCATGGTGATGGAAAGTCTGCAGGGACAAACCTAGCTGACCAGCCTATGTGCAATACAGTAATGTACATTTACATTAAGTGGTTTGTAAGGATGTTAAATTAATACTGCACAGAAAGTGGTTGTTTTCCATGTTATTTGATCAAGAAAAATATTAAATTTGATGTGTTTTTGCCCATAACTTTTGATGTAAATGTTTGAGGACAGGGTTTTGTTCTTTCTGGATTCCATTAGAATGACAATCGCAGAGAAAGGGACAGGTCAACAACTCTTACAGAAAGGGCCAGGGCAACAACTCTTACAGAAAGGAACAGGGCAACAACTCTTACAGAAAGGGCCAGGGCAACAACTCTTACAGAAAGGGACAGGGCGACAACTCTTACAGAAAGGGACAGGGCGACAACTCTTACAGAAAGGGACAGGTCAACAACTCTTACAGAAAGGGACAGGTCAACAACTCTTACAGAAAGGGACAGGTCAACAACTCTTACAGAAAGGGACAGGTCAACAACTCCTACAGAAAGGGACAGGTCAACAACTCTTACAGAAAGGGACAGGGCAACAACTCTTACAGAAAGGGACAGGTCAACAACTCTTACAGAAAGGGACAGGTCAACAACTCTTACAGAAAGGGACAGGGCAACAACTAGTACAGAAAGGGACAGGTCAACAACTCTTACAGAAAGGGACAGGGCAACAACTAGTACAGAAAGGGACAGGTCAACAACTCTTACAGAAAGGGACAGGGCAACAACTAGTACAGAAAGGGACATGGCAACAACTCGTACAGAAAGGGACAGGTCAACAACTCTTACAGAAAGGGACAGGGCAACAACTAGTACAGAAAGGGACAGGGCAACAACTAGTACAGAAAGGGACAGGTCAACAACTAGTACAGAAAGGGACAGGTCAACAACTCGTACAGAAAGGGACAGGTCAACAACTCTTACAGAAAGGGACAGGGCAACAACTAGTACAGAAAGGGACAGGGCAACAACTAGTACAGAAAGGGACAGGTCAACAACTCTTACAGAAAGGGACAGGGCAACAACTAGTACAGAAAGGGACAGGGCAACAACTAGTACAGAAAGGGACAGGTCAACAACTCTTACAGAAAGGGACAGGGCAACAACTAGTACAGAAAGGGACAGGTCAACAACTCTTACAGAAAGGGACAGGGCAACAACTCTTACAGAAAGGGACAGGGCAACAACTCTTACAGAAAGGGACAGGTCAACAACTCTTACAGAAAGGGACAGGGCAACAACTCTTACAGAAAGGGACAGGGCACCAACTCTTACAGAAAGGGACAGGTCAACAACTCTTACAGAAAGGGACAGGGAAACAACTCTTACAATTACAACATTTGAATCCTGCAAGATACTGTTATTAATTACACAACTACCTGTTTTGCCAAAGCAGAGATGCTGAAAAAAAAGATTTTTTTTATTTTTTGGGGGGTGATTTTTTCAGCACCCCTACTTCTCGCAGCTATGCCTAAATGAAAGCAAGACAGAGTAAACATTATTGTTTCTAGTTGAGGTTAGTTACAGGTGAAGTGTCCTGGCTTCACATCAGTTCAGACGAGTGACCGAAGAGACCGCCTGGGAGCTGTTTGGGAGAGCCGCGCAGATCGGCTCAATCAGATCGCGCAACTGAAAGATTCTGCCAATGAGAGGATCGCATGAAATATTCTGCCCGCATGCATGCTTAGGATTGGACAAAACAGACGAAGAAGAGCTTCATGTTCAGATGTCCATTAATCTCACGTGGAAGTCTCGTCACATTTACCTCAAATAAAATGAAAAGTAATTTGTAATAGTTATGTTTGTTTTTTTCAGGGCGTCTCGTTATCGTCAGGAAAAAGAGGTCCTTCACGAGCACTTTTCGTCATAGATATTGTTAATGAAATGAAACACTGCAATATATCAATGTTACATAGAACAATAACAACATTAGTAGCCTACCAACGACATGTACTTTACGAAGCGTTTGAAGAAATCGAAATTGAGACAAAAAGAGAGAGAGAGAGAGAGAGAGAGAGAGAGAGAGAGGAGAGAGAGAGAGAGAGAGAGACAGAGACAGAGAGAGACAGAGAGGGAGAGAGGATAGATATAGATAGAGAGAGAGAGAGAGAGGAGATAGAGAGAGAGAGATAGAGAGAGAGAGAAGATAAGAGAGAGAGAGATAGTACAGAGAGAGAGAGAGAGAGAGAGAGACAGAGAGAGAGAGAGAGAGAGAAAGAAAGGGAGAGGGATAGGGAGAGGCTTTATATACCAATAAAACAGACAAATAAATGATGGTGACACATTGAGATCATTCATGAAGTATAATCCAGTAATAATGTACTGCCACACCCACCTAGTACCGGCCCTATGTCTCACTGTAGTGACTCATGTGTTGTTATTCTAGTTCACTGCTTAGTGAAATCAGACAGGACAAAGGAACAAAGGGTCGTTTCTCCTCCCAGGTCTTCACAACAGCCAGCAACAGTTTTCTGCTCCAGTCCCTGTTCCAGCCATTCAGTGGGACGAGGGCTGATTGGGTAGAGGGGTCTAGCAGAGGGACTTAGGACGAACTTTAGGGAACAGCTGCATGACCAAAGAAAGGAAAATAAACATTGAGTTCTGAACAGCACCTAACAGTTCTGTTTGAGCGCTGGACTAATGAAAATGTAGTTCTGTTTTAGTAATGTGTTAGAACAAATATGTGCGACCCTGTGGGACCTCAGGACCAGGAAGCTGCTTTGCCATTGGGTAAATAATTGCATTAATTGCTTAATTCAGATGTCAAAGTCGTCCTGCCATTTGGACCTTTAGGTCAGACCTTTACTGACTGATGAGGGAGGTGGTGAGACAGAACAAATCAAATCAAAAACAGACCCATTCAATTCAGGAAAATCCCCACTAGAAATTCAACCCTTCTTGTCAGTCTCTTACCCCAAAGTAGTTGTTAGGTATGAATCCCTCTCGGCCACAAAGTGATGCCCACCACCAATCTACCCCGTCTTGCTTCTGGAGGATAGTCACCATGTCCCCCTCTCTGAAGCCCAGCTCGTCTGCCTCCTGGGAAGGGTACCCCCACAGGGCATACAGCACCCCGCTGTTCTCCACACCCATCGCCTCCTCCACACCTGACAACACACACACACACACACACACACACACACCACCAACGATGTTTCTAACACTTTCAGAAAAGGTTTCGACACAGAGTGCAAATAGTTCTGTAGAAAGTGTCCTATGTGGTGTGGTGGTTAAAGCCGCTGGCATGTAAGCCAGAGACAGCATGGGTTAGAATCCAGTCCACTGCTCTTTGACTCGATGTCCTCTTATCTCTCCTGTGGTCCTCAACTGTTTCTGTTCAATAACAGATGTGGGACTGCCCCCCACTCCTAAAAAGAGTTGTGGAGAAAGAGGGTACCCCTGTCTAGTTCCTCCTACCCCTGAGGAAGCTCACGCACTCCTCGAAGCCCACAGCGTACGGGTCACACTTCTGAGAGGCGGTGGCCCCGTCACTCTCCGTCACCGCCATGACAGCTGCCCCGTTCCTCACCAGGAACTCACAGAGAGGAAGGTCATTACAGGATGCTGCACAGTGGAGGGGGGTCCTGGTACACAACAACAACAACAACAACAACACACTACGTGAACAAAACTACACATAAACAAAACTACAACCCGATCTGACTAAACACAACGCAGAATGACACAACAGGGACAGCAACAGAGGGAGGGGACAGTAAAGGAAAATAGCACTGGTCAATGAAAGAGCCCGTTTAAAGGGAAGGGAAGTATTCGGGACTAGAATAGAATAGGGAAGCTACAAAGGGTAGACAATAAGGAAGTTACCATCCGTGGCTGTCTGGGGCGGAGACGTTGGCTCCTATACGAACCAGGAAGTCGACCACGCTGTAGTGACCTCCACAGATGGCGTTATGGAGGGCTGTGATGCCCTCGTCGTTCGGCTGGCTCGCGTCATTCATCTACAGGTCACAGAACACGCAGGGGTGAACCTCATGCTTGCTGTCAACACACACTCAACGGAATGCTTTATTTGGGTCCACAACAGACCCTACCTCCTGCACCCAACCCCAACCTCCTGTACCTAACCCCACCACCCTCCTGCACCCATCCCCCCTCCCTCCCTCCTGCACGGCCCTCTGAACAGTGTCCAGTTCCCCCTCCCTCCTGCACGGCCCTCTGAACAGTGTCCAGTTCCCCCCTACCTCCTGCACGGCCCTCTGAACAGCGTCCAGTTCCCCCCTACCTCCTGCACGGCCCTCTGAACAGTGTCCAGTTCCCCCTCCCTCCTGCACGGCCCTCTGAACAGTGTCCAGTTCCCCCTCCCTCCTGCACGGCCCTCTGAACAGTGTCCAGTTCCCCCTCCCTCCTGCACGGCCCTCTGAACAGCGTCCAGTTCCCCCTACCTCCTGCACGGCCCTCTGAACAGTGTCCAGTTCCCCCTCCCTCCTGCACGGCCCTCTGAACAGTGTCCAGTTCCCCCTACCTCCTGCACGGCCCTCTGAACAGTGTCCAGTTCCCCCTCCCTCCTGCACGGCCCTCTGAACAGTGTCCAGTTCCCCCTACCTCCTGCACGGCCCTCTGAACAGTGTCCAGTTCCCCCCTCCCTCCTGCACGGCCCTCTGAACAGTGTCCAGTTCCCCCTACCTCCTGCACGGCCCTCTGAACAGTGTCCAGTTCCCCCTCCCTCCTGCACGGCCCTCTGAACAGTGTCCAGTTCCCCCTACCTCCTGCACGGCCCTCTGAACAGTGTCCAGTTCCCCCTCCCTCCTGCACGGCCCTCTGAACAGTGTCCAGTTCCCCCTCCCTCCTGCACGGCCCTCTGAACAGTGTCCAGTTCCCCCTCCCTCCTGCACGGCCCTCTGAACAGTGTCCAGTTCCCCCTCCCTCCTGCACGGCCCTCTGAACAGTGTCCAGTTCCCCCTACCTCCTGCACGGCCCTCTGAACAGTGTCCAGTTCCCCCACCAGTGACCCGTCCAGCAGTAGAACCAGAGGGCTGAGCCGAGCCCGCCGACCAGAACCCTCTCGCTCCCGACTGGCCCGACGTAGGATGGAACTGTACCCCTGGGAGGATGGAAGAGAACCACAACTTAGTACCTGAACTTCCCCTTATTAGATACATACGTAGTAACATTGAGATGGAGAGACATGCCCAAGAACTCTGGTTTAAAGTGCATGTGACTATTATAAGTGAATATCTACCTCTAACTGGATCACTACAATGAGACTGTATCTTACATGGAATACCTGCCCTAACCCTTCCACTAACTGGATCAGTACACTGACAATGAGACTGTATCTCACATGGAATACCTGCCCTAACCCTTCCACTAACTGGATCAGTACACTGACAATGAGACTGTATCTTACATGGAATACCTGCCCTAACCCTTCCACTAACTGGATCAGTACACTGACAATGAGACTGTATCTCACATGGAATACCTGCCCTAACCCTTCCACTAACTGGATCAGTACACTGACAATGAGACTGTATCTCACATGGAATACCTGCCCTAACCCTTCCACTAACTGGATCAGTACACTGACAATGAGACTGTATCTCACATGGAATACCTGCCCTAACCCTTCCACTAACTGGATCAGTACACTGACAATGAGACTGTATCTCACATGGAATACCTGCCCTAACCCTTCCACTAACTGGATCAGTACACTGACAATGAGACTGTATCTCACATGGAATACCTGCCCTAACCCTTCCACTAACTGGATCAGTACACTGACAATGAGACTGTATCTCACATGGAATACCTGCCCTAACCCTTCCACTAACTGGATCAGTACACTGACAATGAGACTGTATCTCACATGGAATACCTGCCCTAACCCTTCCACTAACTGGATCAGTACACTGACAATGAGACTGTATCTCACATGGAATACCTGCCCTAACCCTTCCACTAACTGGATAAGTACACTGACAATGAGACTGTATCTCACATGGAATACCTGCCCTAACCCTTCCACTAACTGGATCAGTACACTGACAATGAGACTGTATCTCACATGGAATACCTGCCCTAACCCTTCCACTAACTGGATCAGTACACTGACAATGAGACTGTATCTTACATGGAATACCTGCCCTAACCCTTCCACTAACTGGATCAGTACACTGACAATGAGACTGTATCTCACATGGAATACCTGCCCTAACCCTTCCACTAACTGGATCAGTACACTGACAATGAGACTGTATCTCACATGGAATACCTGCCCTAACCCTTCCACTAACTGGATCAGTACACTGACAATGAGACTGTATCTCACATGGAATACCTGCCCTAACCCTTCCACTAACTGGATCAGTACACTGACAATGAGACTGTATCTCACATGGAATACCTGCCCTAACCCTTCCACTAACTGGATCAGTACACTGACAATGAGACTGTATCTCACATGGAATACCTGCCCTAACCCTTCCACTAACTGGATCAGTACACTGACAATGAGACTGTATCTCACATGGAATACCTGCCCTAACCCTTCCACTAACTGGATCAGTACACTGACAATGAGACTGTATCTTACATGGAATACCTGCCCTAACCCTTCCACTAACTGGATCAGTACACTGACAATGAGACTGTATCTCACATGGAATACCTGCCCTAACCCTTCCACTAACTGGATCAGTACACTGACAATGAGACTGTATCTCACATGGAATACCTGCCCTAACCCTTCCACTAACTGGATCAGTACACTGACAATGAGACTGTATCTTACATGGAATACCTGCCCTAACCCTTCCACTAACTGGATCAGTACACTGACAATGAGACTGTATCTTACATGGAATACCTGCCCTAACCCTTCCACTAACTGGATCAGTACACTGACAATGAGACTGTATCTCACATGGAATACCTGCCCTAACCCTTCCACTAACTGGATCAGTACACTGACAATGAGACTGTATCTCACATGGAATACCTGCCCTAACCCTTCCACTAACTGGATCAGTACACTGACAATGAGACTGTATCTCACATGGAATACCTGCCCTAACCCTTCCACTAACTGGATCAGTACACTGACAATGAGACTGTATCTCACATGGAATACCTGCCCTAACCCTTCCACTAACTGGATCAGTACACTGACAATGAGACTGTATCTCACATGGAATACCTGCCCTAACCCTTCCACTAACTGGATCAGTACACTGACAATGAGACTGTATCTTACATGGAATACCTGCCCTAACCCTTCCACTAACTGGATCAGTACACTGACAATGAGACTGTATCTCACATGGAATACCTGCCCTAACCCTTCCACTAACTGGATCAGTACACTGACAATGAGACTGTATCTTACATGGAATACCTGCCCTAACCCTTCCACTAACTGGATCAGTACACTGACAATGAGACTGTATCTCACATGGAATACCTGCCCTAACCCTTCCACTAACTGGATCAGTACACTGACAATGAGACTGTATCTCACATGGAATACCTGCCCTAACCCTTCCACTAACTGGATCAGTACACTGACAATGAGACTGTATCTCACATGGAATACCTGCCCTAACCCTTCCACTAACTGGATCAGTACACTGACAATGAGACTGTATCTCACATGGAATACCTGCCCTAACCCTTCCACTAACTGGATCAGTACACTGACAATGAGACTGTATCTCACATGGAATACCTGCCCTAACCCTTCCACTAACTGGATCAGTACACTGACAATGAGACTGTATCTCACATGGAATACCTGCCCTAACCCTTCCACTAACTGGATCAGTACACTGACAATGAGACTGTATCTCACATGGAATACCTGCCCTAACCCTTCCACTAACTGGATCAGTACACTGACAATGAGACTGTATCTCACATGGAATACCTGCCCTAACCCTTCCACTAACTGGATCAGTACACTGACAATGAGACTGTATCTCACATGGAATACCTGCCCTAACCCTTCCACTAACTGGATCAGTACACTGACAATGAGACTGTATCTCACATGGAAGTCAGTACACTGACAATGAGACTGTATCTCACATGGAATACCAAATCAAGCTCTATCTAAAGTACATTTAAAACATCTTGATAAACTTCACTGTAAAACAGCCACAACAACACAAAGAAAGAATCAAGCATAGGAGTGTGGCCTGTCATACCCTGTATTCTGGAGAGGCAGGTCCAGGGTTAGGGACAGGGTTAGGGACAGGGTTAGGGACAGGGTTAGGGACAGGGTTAGGGACAGGGTTAGGTCCAGTGGAGGGGGATGTAGAGCTGTCCCCTTCTCCATCTGAGGAGGAGCTGTAGTCACTCCCCGTCTCCCCCCCTTGCAGGCCCTTGGACCCATTCCTCCGGAAGAGCTTATTGATGAACTGTTTGTACTGTTTCTGACTGTTGTCCGGCTGCAGGGCGGCTGGCTTCTTCTGGGGCTGGCCAGGGACAGGGGCTAGGGTCAGGGTCACACTGTTACCACAACATCGTATACACATGCAGAAGCTTTTGAAAATTAAACAAATTCATAAGACCAGCGCCGTTGCAAAGATAGTGAAAGATTCTACAGGATGAGCATTGATAACGTGATCAGCAGTAGATTCTACAGGATGAGCATTGATAACGTGATCAGTCGGGCAGTCAAGTGGCTGTAGATACACTAAATAAATAAAACCTTGCAATTAATCGAATGACAGTGAAACAGTTTGATGGTGAACTTTCTTTGTTGCTACCATTCACATTTTCACACATCGCTGGTCCCCTTTGTGTAGAATTCTTATGCAAAAATGTAATGGGATATTAGAATAGTCATTTCCTAACCTTGTGACCCTGGTCCAGGGTTTGGGTTGGGGTCAGGTTTAGGGTTAGGGGTCAGAGAGCCGCGTCTCTTCAGGGCCCGGGGGATCTCAGAGCGGATCCGTAACAGCTCTTCCATGTCAGGGACATCTGGGCTCTCTGGAGCCACCACTGGCTGCAGCCTGGACGGGCTGAGGGGTCTGGGGGCCACCACCTGGGATTCGTCGACGACGACGACGACGACACCTCGCTCCGTCTCCCCCCCTCTCTCTGGGAGAGCTGGGTCAGCGGCCGTGGGACCATGACGCATTGGGTCCAGTCGCTCCAACTCAGCGTCAACATCACCTGGGTTCAGCACTGTGGGAGAGGAGAGAACACACAGACGGACACATGCATATGGACGGACGGACAGAATTACGCACAGACGGGTGACCACACATAACCAGTTAGACTGTGAGAGTAGAGTCTATACCTTCCCCGTAGTAAGCCGGCTGCCTGAGCTCATGGTTCTGTGGTTGGGTCTGGTACTCTCTGTAGTCCAGGTATTCCCTGTACTCCCTGGGTACAGCCTGACGGTACACCCCCGTGTCCCCCTCTTTCCCCAGGGCCCGGGGGTGGATCGCAGACGAGGCCCAGTAGGGGTTCTGGAGCCGCATGATGACGGAGAGGGGGATGGGCCTGTGCTGACGGGGGGGATGGGAGGAGGAGGAGGGAGGGGGGATGGAGATACGGGATATGATTGGTTGGGGAGGGGCGTGGTAGAGGGAGGACAAGTCAGGAGGGACAGAGATACGGGTGTTACGGGGGAGAGAGGCGTGGGGGGACTGGAGGGAACGAGTGAGGGTGTCCTGGAGGGAATGGGAAAGAAAAGGGGAGAGAGAGAGAGAGAGAGAGAGAGATACTGTTCATCTGACCATCATTGTTATACATGACAATGTAAGTGATTTAACTTTCCATGTCAATAAAGTATATTAGAGAGAGGGCTGATTAACAAACAAACAAACGCAATTACATTGATGGAAGTTACAATCTATCTGCAATATTAAAGCTGATCTACCTATCTTTTTTTTTTTTAACACACAAAAAACAAACAAACGCATGCGTGTACACACGCACACGCACACACACGCACACACAGACACACACACACACACACACACACACACCGACAAACACACACACAACACACACACCACACCACACAGACACACACACACAACCACACACGCACCACACACAGACCACACACACACACAGACACACCACAACACCGCACACACGCACCCCACCACCACACCACACAACACCACAGACACCACACACACCCCCACACACACACCTTTGAGGGGAAGCTTTTCCAGGTTAGATTCTCTCCATTGTGTTGCACCAAGGTTCAGCCACTCTTCTCTGCAACCCGGGAGGGTAGTTAACACAGGGAGGCGCGGTTAACAACAGGGAAAGGGCCTAGGTAACAACAGGGAGGCGCTGGTTAACAACAGGGAGGCGCAGGTTAACAACAGGGGGCGCTGGGTTAACAACAGGAGGCACTGGGTAACAAAGGGAGGCGCTAGGTAAACAGGGAGGCGCTGGGTAACAAAGGGAGGCGGGGTTAACAACAGGAGGCGCTGGTTAACAAAAGGGAGGCGCTGGGTTAACAACAGGGAGGCGCTAGGTAACAACAGGGGGGCCTGGTTACAAGGGAGGCCTAGGTTACACGGAGCGTAGGTTTAACAACAGGAGGCGTGGGTTAACAACAGGGAGGCGGGGTTAACAACAGGGAGGCGCTTTGGGTTAACAACAGGGAGGCGCTAGGTTAAAAAAAGGGAGCGCTGGTTAAAAACAGGGGGGCGCTGGGTCCAACAAAGGAGGCGCTGGTCAACACAGGGAGACGTAGGTTAACAACAGGGAGGCGCTAGGTAACACAGGAGGGTAGTTAAACAACAGGGAGGCGCTAGGTTAACAACAGGGAGGCGCTAGGTTAACACAGGGGCGCTGGGTTAAAAAACAGGGGCGCTGGGTTACAACAGGAGGCGCTGGGGTAACAAAGGGAAAGGGGCTGGTTAACACAGGAGGCGCTAGGTTAAAACAGGGGACGCTAGGTAAACAACAGGGAGGCGCTAGGTTAACAACAGGGAGACGCTTTAACAACAGGGAGGCGAGGTTAACAACAGGGAGGCGCTAGGTTAACAACAGGGAGGCGCTAGGTTAACAACAGGGAGGCGCTGGGTTAACAACAGGGAGGCGCTAGGTTAACAACAGGGAGGCGCTAGGTTAACAACAGGGAGGCGCTGGGTTAACAACAGGGAGGCGCTAGGGTTAACAACAGGGAGGCGCTAGGTTAACAACAGGGAGACGCTAGGTTAACAACAGGGAGACGCTGGGTTAACAACAGGGAGGCGCTGGGTTAACAACAGGGAGGCGCTGGGTTAACAACAGGGAGGCGCTGGGTTAACAACAGGGAGGCGCTGGGTTAACAACAGGGAGGCGCTAGGTTAACAACAGGGAGGCGCTGGGTTAACAACAGGGAGGCGCTAGGGAGGCGCTGGGTTAACAACAGGGAGGCGCTAGGTTAACACTGGTGTGTGTTAGTCTTAGTTTAAGTTCTTCTCTGCAGACAGTGGGAGAGGTGTATTCACCATGTTCTCAGTAAATACACACTGAGTATGAATGTGTGTGTTGAGAACTTACTGTCGTAGGTGTGTGGGTTGAGGTCTTACTGTTGTAGGTGTGTGGGTTGAGGTCTTACTGTCGTAGGTGTGTGGGTTGAGGTCTTACTGTCGTAGGTGTGTAGGTTGAGGTCTTACTGTCATAGGTGTGGTGGGGTTTCTTCTCGTAAGACGACACGTCCAAATCTGTCTCATTCCATTTACCAGGGATCTTCTGTCTCTGTATGCCTTCATCTGGAGAGACATAGGAAAGCAAACAGTCATTTTAACTAATTCAGGGGATTGAGAAATGTAGGCTACTGTCTATGTGAGTCAATGTTATTAAGGTCACGTATTAAAGACTCAATGTAGTGGCACGTACTAAAGAGTCAATGTTATTTGCTTCACGTACTAAAGAGTCAATGTAGTGGCACGTACTAAAGAGTCAATGTAGTGGCACGTACTAAAGAGTCAATGTTATTTGCTTCACATACTAAAGAGTCAATGTAGCGGCACCTACTAAAGAGTCAATGTTATTTCCTTCATATACTAAAGAGTCAATGTTATTTGCTTCACATACTAAAGAGTCAATATAGCGGCACCTACTAAAGACTCAATGTAGTGGCACGTACTAAAGAGTCAATGTTATTTGCTTCACATACTAAAGAGTCAATGTAGCGGCACGTACTAAAGAGTCAATGTATTTTTACGTACTAAAGAGTCAATGTAGTGGCACGTACTAAAGAGTCAATGTAGTGGCACGTACTAAAGAGTCAATGTAGTGGCACGCACTAAAGAGTCAAAATAGCGGCACCTACTAAAGAGTCAATGTAGTGGCACGTACTAAAGAGTCAATGTTATTTGCTTCACGTACTAAAGAGTCAATGTAGCGGCACCTACTAAAGAGTCAATGTTATTTGCTTCACATACTAAAGAGTCAATGTTATTTGCTTCACATACTAAAGAGTCAATATAGCGGCACCAACTAAAGAGTCAATGTAGTGGCACGTACTAAAGAGTCAATGTTATTTGCTTCACGTACTAAAGAGTCAATGTATTTTTACGTACTAAAGAGTCAATGTAGTGGCACGTACTAAAGAGTCAATGTAGTGGCACGCACTAAAGAGTCAATGTAGTGGCACGCACTAAAGAGTCAATATAGCGGCACCTACTAAAGAGTCAATGTAGTGGCACGTACTAAAGAGTCAATGTTATTTGCTTCACGTACTAAAGAGTCAATGTAGCGGCACCTACTAAAGAGTCAATGTTATTTGCTTCACATACTAAAGAGTCAATGTTATTTGCTTCACATAATAAAGAGTCAATATAGCGGCACCACCTAAAGAGTCAATGTAGTGGCACGTACTAAAGAGTCAATGTTATTTGCTTCACGTACTAAAGAGTCAATGTATTTTTACGTACTAAAGAGTCAATGTAGTGGCACGTACTAAAGAGTCAATGTAGTGGCACGTACTAAAGAGTCAATGTAGTGGCACGTACTAAAGAGTCAATGTAGTGGCACGTACTAAAGAGTCAATGTAGTGGCATGTACTAAAGAGTCAATTTATTTTTACATACTAAAGAGTTGATGTAGTGGCAAGTACTAAAGAGTAATGTAGTGGCACGTACAAAAGAGTCAGCGTTATTAACTTCACGTACTAAAGAGTCAATGTAGTGGGACGTACTAAAGAGTCAAGGTTATTAATTTAATGTATTAAAGAGTCAATGTAGTGGCACGTACTAAAGAGTCAATGTAGCAGCACGTACTAAAGAGTCAATGTAGTGGAACATACTAAAGAGTCAATGTAGTGGCACGTACTAAAGAGTCAATGTAGTGGCACGTACTAAAGAGTCAATGTAGTGGCACGTATTAAAGAGTCAATGTAGCGGCACCTACTAAAGAGTCAATGTAGTGGCACGTACTAAAGAGTCAATGTAGTGGCACGTATTAAAGAGTCAATGTAGCGGCACCTACTAAAGAGTCAATGTAGTGGCACGTACTAAAGAGTCATGTAGTGGCACGTATTAAAGAGTCAATGTAGTGGCACGCACTAAAGAGTCAATGTAGTGGCACGTACTAAAGAGTGAATGTAGTGGCACGCACTAAAGAGTCAATGTAGTGGCACGCACTAAAGAGTCAATGTAGTGGCACGTACTAAAGAGTCAATGTAGTGGCACGCACTAAAGAGTCAATGTAGTGGCACGTACTAAAGAGTCAATGTAGGGGGCACGCACTAAAGAGTCAATTTAGCGGCACCTACTAAAGAGTCAATGTAGTGGCACGTACTAAAGAGTCAATGTTATTTGCTTCACATACTAAAGAGTCAATGTAGCGGCACCTACTAAAGAGTCAATGTTATTTCCTTCACATACTAAAGAGTCAATGTTATTTGCTTCACATACTAAAGAGTCAATATAGCGGCACCTACTAAAGAGTCAATGTAGTGGCACGTACTAAAGAGTCAATGTTATTTGCTTCACATACTAAAGAGGTCAATGTAGCGGCCCGTACTAAAGAGTCAATGTATTTTACGTACTAAAGAGTCAATGTAGTGGCACGTACTAAAGAGTCATGTAGTGGCACGTACTAAAGATCCAAGTAGTGGCACGCACTAAAGAGTCAAAATAGCGGCACCTACTAAAGAGTCATGTAGTGGCACGTACTAAAGAGTCAATGTTATTTTGCTTCACGTACTAAGAGTCAATGTAGCTGCACCTACTAAAGAGTCAATGTTATTTGCTTCACATACTAAAGAGTCAATGTTATTTGCTTCACATACTAAAGAGTCAATATAGCGGCACCAAACTAAAGAGTCAATGTAGTGGCACGTACTAAAGAGTCAATGTTATTTTGCTTCACGTACTAAAGAGTCAATGTATTTTTACGTACTAAAGAGTCAATGTAGTGGCACGTACTAAAGAGTCAATGTAGTGGCACGCACTAAAGAGTCAATTTAGTGGCACGCACTAAAGAGTCAATATAGCGGCACCTACTAAAGAGTCAATGTAGTGGCACGTACTAAAGAGTCAATGTTATTTGCTTCACGTACTAAAGAGTCAATGTAGCGGCACCTACTAAAGAGTCAATGTTATTTGCTTCACATACTAAAGAGTCAATGTTATTTGCTTCACATAATAAGAGTCAATATATCGCAGGCCACCTAAAGAGTCATGTAGTGGCACGTACTAAAGAGTCATTTATTTGCTCACATACTAAAGAGTCAATGTATTTTTACGTACTAAAGAGTCAATGTAGTGGCACGTACTAAAGAGTCAATGTAGTGGCACGTACTAAAGAGTCAATGGTATTGGCACGTACTAAAGAGTCAATGTAGTGGCACTTACTAAAGAGTCAATGTAGTGGCATGTACTAAAGAGTCAATGTATTTTTACATACTAAAGAGTCGATGGTAGTGGCAAGTACTAAAGAGTAATGTAGTGGCACGTACAAAAGAGTCATAGCGTTATTAACTTCACGTACTAAAGAGTCAATGTAGTGGGACGTACTAAAGAGTCCAAGGTTATTAATTTAATGTATTAAAGAGTCAAAAGTAGTGGCCCCCCACCCTACAAAGATCAATGTAGCAGCACCCTACTAAAGAGTCAATGTAGTGAAATACTAAGAGTCATTAGGGCACGTACTAAAGAGTCAATGTATGGCACGTACTAAAGAGTCAATGTAGTGGCACGTATTAAAGAGTCAATGTAGCGGCACCTACTAAAGAGTCAATGTAGTGGCACGTACTAAGAGTCAATGTAGTGGCACGTTTTTAAAGAGTCAATGTAGCGGCACTACTAAAGAGTCAATGTAGTGGACTACTAAAGAGTCAATGTAGTGGGACGTATTAAAAAGTCAATGTTGTGGCACGTAAATAAAGAGTCAATGTTAGTGCACTACTAAAAGTCAATGTCTGGACGTACTAAAAGTCAATGGTAGTGGCACGTACTAAAGAGTCAATGTTAGTTTGGGACGTACTTAAAAAAAGTCAATGGGAGTGGAACGTACTAAAGAGTAAATGTAGTGGCACGTACTAAAGAGTCAATGTAGTGGCACTTTCTAAAAAAGTCAATGTAGTGGCACGTACTAAAAAGAGTCCAAAGTAGTGGAACGTACTAAAGAGTAAAAAGTGGCAGTACTAAAAGTCAATGTAGTGGCACCTACTAAAAGAGTAATGTAGTGGCACGTAGAGAGTCATCTAGGCAGACTAAAGTCAATGTAGTGGCACCTATAAGAGTCAATGTAGCGGCACGTACTAAAGAGTCAATGTAGTGGAACGTACTAAAGAGTCAATGTAGTGGCACGTACTAAACAGTCAATGTAGTGGCACGTACTAAAAGAGTCAATGTAGTGGAACGTACTAAAGAGTTAAAAGTAGTGGCACGTACTAAAAAGTCAATGTAGTGGCACGTACTAAAGAGTCAATGTAGTGGCACGTACTAAAGAGTCAATGTAGTGGCATCTACTAAAGTCAATGTTGGCAGTAATAAGAGTCAAGTAGTGGCAAAGTACTAAAGAGGTCAATGTTGTGGGCACGTACAAAGATCCAATGTAGTGGCACGAACTAAAAGAGTCAATGTAGAGTGGCATCGTACTAAAGATCAATGGTAGTGGGCACGTACTAAAGAGTCAATGTAGTGGCACGTACTAAAAAGAGTCAATGTAGTGGAACGTACTAAAGAGTAAATGTAGTGGCACGTACTGAAGAGTCATGTAGTGGCACATACTAAAGAGTCAATGTTATTAGCTTCACTACTAAAGAGTCAACTGTAGTGGCACGCACTAAAGAGTCAATGTAGTGGGCACGTACTAAAGAATCAATGTAGGCACGCACTAAAGAGTCAATGTAGTGGCACGTACTAAAGAGTCAATGTTGTGGCACATACTAAAGAGTCCAGCGTTATTAATTTCACGTACTAAAGAGTCAATGTAGTGGGCACGTACTAAAGAGTCAATGTAGGCATGCACTAAAGAGTCAATGTAAGTGGCACGTACTAAAGGTCAATGTTGTGGCACGTACTAAAGAGTCAGCGTTTTATTAATTTCACGTACTAAAGAGTCAATGTAGTGGCACGCACGAAAGAGTCAATGTAGTGGCATCTATTAAAGAGTCAATGTAGTGGCACGTAATAAAGAGTCAATGTAGTGGCACGTACTAAAGAGTCAATGTTGTGGCACGTACTAAAGAGTCAATGTAGTGGCACGAACTAAAGAGTCATGTAGTGGCACGTACTAAAGAGTCAATGTAGTGGCAC